TCTGCATTCTAACAGGTTCCTAGGTAACAATGACATTGCTGCTCTGGGCAACACTGTGAAAACCAGCGGTGCAAACCACCTGCCCTCTTCACCTGGCTGGAGTCAAAAAGTATGGTAGAATTTTAAACGGCTGATGTATAAAAATCAAATTTTGGAATCACTGGCCACTATTTTAATTCAAAAGCGTATTTTATAACTTAAAAATCTTATAAAAACACATTAACTTTAGAATCCTGGAGATTATCACACACCACAATATTAGTATTACGTACTCAACTGATCTTTGGGACTATAACAGTTTTCATAAATTTTTACCAAAAGGCAAGACCATCATAAATACTGAAAAATCATACCTACCACAAAAAGGTACGTAACAGGTCCTGGGATGACAGTCAGATGCTCTAACCACTGGAGTGGGGGCCCTCAGATTACCTACCTGTACAGTTGTCCCTCTCAAAAGCACCTGTGCAGGGACAGGCACCCTGCAGAAAGTCTTTTTTTCCCTTAATTGTAGTAAACACACTTAACATAAGATCTACCCGCTTAACAAAATCTGAAGTATGCAATACAGCACTGTTATTACAGGCACAATGTTGTTTGGTGGATCTCCGGGCTGATTTATCTTGTATAACTGCAACTTTGTACCCACTGAATAATGAATTCTCCCTCCCTCGCTCCCACAAGAAAGGTGTGAGCTGTGGCTCTGTCCTCCACATCACACGCCGCCCGCACGTGCCCCTTTACCAAGCCAGTGTCTGAACCACCACAAAATCATTGGCGGGAGAAGTAACCAACCACCGCGCACTGAGCTGTTCTACCACGAAGACCAGGAGGACGAGAGACAGCACCTTGGCCACAGGCACTCCCTGAAGAAGAGACTGCAAACTGGTGGCCCTCTGGTTTTTTGTTAAAAAAAAAAAAGATCAAGAATTAGTTGCCCACCTTTGGCAATCATATTTCACATAAACACCTGTAGTTTCAGTGTCTCTAAAAGATCACGTTGGGCAGCCCTAGCCTGGCCTTCGTTTCCACGTGGCCTCGATGAGCCGCAGCTCACAGCTGTTGCCCGCTTGTAGTGAGAAAAACAGGCTCCCCAGGTCGTCACTGTCCCCAGAAATCCCTCCTCTTCCACACCTGGCCTGCCGTCCGTTCCATCGTAATTGCCTGGCCTGTAAACACTCGCGTTTGCAATCGCTGCTCGAAGGTTGTAGCACAAATAAGAAAATTTGCTGGGAATTGTGAATAACCTGCGGTCTCCGTCTCTCACACTTTTCTGTCACTCACCAGACTGTAACAGAATGTAACTTTATAATAGTGACAATCTTACTCCGTTTTAAATTCTTAAATAAATAAAGCACTTGCAAACTCTGATATTAGTATTCAAACAAACGGGACCCTACCTGACGTGTGTCCACAACACACTGTAACTGAAAACCTCTGACAGGGAAATTCGCTTTTGTGCCTCCCAGCACACATTCTGACTTTGAACGTGCCTAACGAATGATGAGACCTCTGAAAATTTCAGAATCAAGCTGTAGGGGACAAGGAGCATCAGGCGGAATCAAGTCCTTCTAGTCCATGTAATTATAGATATATAAAAATGTTAAGTGTTGTCAAGTATTACATCTGTCATAAACCTTAAAAAGTATGCCATTTGTCTTATCATGTAAAATTATTTGGGAAACATATAGAATGCTGGGCACCCAAGCCTAAGACCATTGCTTTGAAAAACTGAACAGAAACATTTCTGAGACAGGCACTGCATTAAAACCAAGCCTCCGTGAAAAAGAGCCACTTAAAGGAACAACTCTCTGCTTCCAAATGACTGCAAATACCTTTGTCTCCGTAGATCAAAGGAAAAATAAACGTGTGTACCAGGAGTAGGTGGGAAGGGGGGTAATCTAGAGCTCTGCTGCAGGAAGTGAAGGGACGAGTTAAATGGGTCCTCCAAAACTGAGGGCAGCCAGAGGCTAGGAAGGCGCTCTGGCCTGCAGGGAAATGTCTTGTTCCAAATGTGTGTGACTGATGTCCAAGATGACTATGTATAGAACACACCTCATAACAGAGAATATAGCTGCCTAATGCACGGACAGACAGACACACACACCTCACATCTCATAACAGAGAATATAGCTGCCTAATGCACAGACGGACACACACACACCCCCGCCGCCTCCCGCCCCCCAATCCGGGGTCCTTAGATTCCTGCTTCCCTTGGATAGGCAGGTGTATATATGGATGCTATGTTGAGAAAACACTGAAACACCGGGCATAGGCCTTAGCCTATATATAAATACTCAAATGTTATTTTTTACCAAACCATAGCCCCATCCCTGTGAGGGGATATCTTACAGAGAGGGCATTCACACTTCTGTTGCGGAACATCCACTGTATGGTACTTAGACACTCGCCTCTCCATGAACTTTCAGAACTACTTTCATAGCGACAGAGTTTATAGGTCTTACAGAATTCTTGCTGCCATGCATCAAACAAGAGGCACCCTCAGTATTTTTAAAAGGCGAGGAGGACTCATGTTAGACAGGCATATGCCAACGCTGTTTTATCTGCAGTAAGAAATCAGACAATTGGATTAAGATTAAACACTTTAATCAACTATAATAAATCAATATATATTATATAAAAAGTCTGATCCATGCATCAGATTACATAAATTATATAATTGTCACATTATGCAATGCTTACATACTTCTGAGTTTGTACCTGTAAAAATGTATACAAGTTACTAGAGCATTTTACTTAATAAGTGTAATACTCTTCAGTTATAAATAATGCTTATATCTTTCAAATACCTGCTAAATATATACATTTCTAGATCTGCAGCATTTTTTTGGACCTCAAAATACAAACCATCTGGAAGCTTCGAAGATTAATAGACCCAATGTATCATTTGTTACAGACTTCGATTCCGTGGTAAGAGTGGATTTTTTGGCATAGAAATAAAATAAAACACCAACTCTAGCTTAATGCTTGAAGAGCTTCTACATTACTTGTTAAACACATCAGAAAACCCTTCAGATGCAGATTAATTAGTTAAGGTGCTACCTATTGCATATTAAATACTTCCAATAATTGCATCTGGATTATGAAAGTTATAAATCTGTGAAAATGGGGGCTTTCAAACGTGTGCTGACAGACCCTTACATCTACCATCAGGAACCGGCAGCGCTGCGATCCCTTACCCCTTCCTTCAAAGAGACCGAGTGCGCGAGCATGCTTCATACTTCACTTACACACGCCCAAGTGACACCTAGCACATCTACGAGACATATGAGTACATGGACATCAAAGTTTCAGCTTGACTTACAAATCCAAGGTAGGCAGCTTTTCCTAAAAAGCTACAGAGGCAAATACGAGCTCTAGTGTAACAAGTCCTAGATAAAGACAGTTCTTTTCTTTTTACATTCTCCTTGCTAAATAAGCACCCTGAGGGGGCGGTGGACCAGGGGAGAGGGTGAAGGCAGGGGCGCTGGTGGAGGCAGGAGTGAGGAAAGCGAGGCTGTCACTAATGAGCTGCGTTTTACGGAGGTTTCCAGTCACGAACCCCTTTTAAATACAAGGCAACATTTTCACAGCTGGAAAATTACAACTAAATCTTCATTTACTGCCAAAAGCAATAGACGTAGTTCTGTATAAGCTATGGATAATACGACATTCATGGGAGAATGGCAAAACTAGGCTCAATGCAGAACACAGCAGCCAAAAGCAATACTTCAACGCTTCTCATGAATGGCAACGCGTCATTTTATATACAATGCTAAGACAGGCCCCTGGTATTCAATGAATGAAATGGAAGCATAAGTGGAAGAACAGTATGTTCAGTATTTTCAAAACTGGGTTTTAAAGCTAGGAGGGGGACTGGTTGTAAAATAATACTATTTTTAAAATAGAAATATTTTAATTCTATAACGTAAGTCTATTAAGCTGGGTTTGAGATAAGTATCAATTCTGTGGGGTTTTTTTTTTTTTTAATCCTTATTGGTGGAAATATTTTTGAGCATGCATTTTTTTAAGCATAAATAAAATCCGCTTATAAGCATATAATGCTGTGCATTATTTAATGAGTACCTATATTTTATTTCCATTTCTAAGTTACTAACAAAACACACCATTAATACTTAGCTACTTCTGGAGAAACAAACTAAGGTAACCTCTCTGCCCTGTCTCCTATGGCCTGGGAAGTAAAACACTCTGTTTGCACTTCTGCCCAAATGCAGGAAACACTCATGGGTTTACTGGGGAGTGATTTTTACTTTTTGTTTTTTTCGTTTATTATATTGACAGGTTATGAAAATACATATAATAACGTTGTGTTCTAGACCATGAGTAAAACTTCATGAATATCCCAATAGAACATTTTTAGGCAGTGATAAATGCAGATTGAGTTTTCAATAGAATTCTTCTCTCAGATTTAAAGATAAAAATATTGAGTCACTTATAACCAAATCGCTCACATATGGATAAGTCTAATTCTTAACAGTTTTTATACAAGCAAAGAATGTCTCCTTAAAAATGAATTTCCTCATAAAAAGAATAGCAGTTACTTGAACCATACTTTTTAATGAGCTCTATTCACATAAAACATATCCCCAATACAAAACCAACATCTTGGTTCATTCTATAAAGAGCAAATTTGGCCAAAGCATATTAAAATATCTGCAAATAATCTGTCATACTACTAAAACCACATGGATTTTGGTATTTTAGAAAAAGTGTAAGAAAAGCTTCAATCATACTAACAACAGAAAAAACAAATGCTAAGAAGTTTTTAATATTTAATAGATGTTAATTAAAAATGGCACCATGTTAGAAAATAATTATTAAGACTTCAAATGGGAAAATAAAATTTCTATACCAAATTCTGAGGTTTATGAAAGAAGTAAAAAAGAAGGAAAAGTTGGTAAAGCTATTTTTCCTTCTCCATTTCAAAAAATTATTTTTGTATTTGGGGAAAATTTTCAAAATTTCAAAAGATATGGTCTTACAGGAAAACTAAAGAAACTAAGAAAATATAAATAACATGGGATTTTAGCTTATAAATTGAATATAAGCTTGGCCAAGTGTTATATGATTCAAAACAATGAGCAAAACTATTATATCTGCTTTGTACTTAACTTTCAATGAAGTCTTAGTAGAAATACATATTAGACAAAAATGCACTTCATTAAAAGATTGAGAAATACATGTCTCAACATACCAGTGTGTTTTTCATTTTAAATTCAGAGAGACAGATTCAATGTTTCACAGTGAGTATTTTAGGTTAAGATAAAAAATAAGCAATAGATAATTAGTAATATTTTTATAACCATTGTTTTTCCCTTTAAATTTCAGACTAATTTCATACAAATATATAAAGATAATTCATGGAAGTAATTAACATTTTGGTGGGGGTCAGACTTATTTAGAAAGGCCAACATATAATTTTGTGATAAATCAATTCTTAAAGGGTAAATGAAGAATAATGTGTACCGTCATGCTAGTAAAGATCTGTTCTAGAAACTCACTCCTCCTTTAGTAACTGTTATTTTGGTTCAAGACCCAAATGCAACCATCTGTTCTATTATTTACGTAACTTGAAACCAAGCCTAATGCTTTATTCCTAGAGTTTGCCCACTGCTTTGGATTATCAGGCATCAGATGATCACCTACTCCCCCCTCAAATTATCTTCAGCTTTAACTTCTTAATATTTTCTTTGCTAGTGATTTATAGGCATTCAGAATCTCAACAAAACATATTACATTAGCTTATCTTCTGCTTATAGCTTAAACAAAACTCAAATGTTAGGATAAAAAATGAATTCAAGGAATCCATGCTGTCGCGGAGTTAATAAAGTTAAAAAAGGACTTTGGAGCATTACGTTTGGATAAAGAGCAAAAGTCTGATGCAGGAGGAGTGGATAGTAGCAGCTCATTTTGAAACCAAGGTTCACATAGTCAAGAGTGATTTGAAGCAACTTCTCTGTAACAAACCGTAACACTGTAGTAGCGATGGCGATTGGTTGTGCGTCAATAGAGCACAGACGCGTTTTCAAATTAAGAATTGGCATCCTAATTTTAGAGGCAACCAGTTGTTTTTAAATGTCCCAAAAACACACGTATACGTGAGGTATATGCATGTATTTTATACACAAAGGTACGTGAACTTATATTCACGTGCATATATATGTATATAAAATATGAACTGTTTTTTTAAAGTAGTGTTTATAGTGAGCAGTATTCCTGCGGCTAAACTGTCTATAAATTGAATGCTGAGAACCCAACCACAGTATCAATTCTCACAATACCAGTGGATGAGAAATCTATTCCTGAGGAATAAGTCATGTACCTCTGAAGACATTCCTAGGCCCATGGGGGTTGGTCGGCTGGCTCCAGCACCTAATGAGTCCTAAGGAACTGCTTACTGATCGAGAAGCTGGCCATTTTCACTTTAAAAGTTTAAATTACTTAGCTCACTTCAAAGGTCACTCTTGACAGTCCCTGCTAGTATTTGCGGGTAAAACAACTTTTCACAATGGAGGAGGGCATGTAATAAAACCTGGAAGTGTAGTCTCTTTCGGTAACAGTCTTTTTTTTTTTTTTTTTTTTTGTCCTTTCTTTCTTCCTTCCTTTCTTTCCCCTCCAATTATAAGCATGGTACGACTGGCTTCTTAACTGTTGGAGAATTTGCCAGCCTTCCTGGACGGTTCATAGGGCACTCTGAGAATGCTGGGCGTTTCCTCCATCACCCTTACGAGGAGATTGTCGATGTAGTCTTCGAGTTCCCGGATGTGGGTGTCTTTCCTCCTCAGGAGCTCCTTGTGTTTCACGAGCTCCTGGAGTACCTCCTCATAGGTCAGGCTACGATACCCTGCAGTGGCATCGAAAGGGTTGCTGTCCTAGAACAGAATAAAGAGTGTCACTTGAGTAGATACAGTATCAGGAACAAATCAGAATTATTTTGAACTTCAACTTTTGGTTTTTCAAGCCCTGATCAAGTTTCTTGTCTACCCTTAGCTGGAGCCAGAGTGACAGGTCACAGAACGGCCAGTCAGTTCTGAGGCGGGCACTAGGTCAGGCGCGCCCCAGCCTGTAGCGTAATTCTGAATTCTTCTACAATCCTTTTCTACAATGTGGACAAGGTCCTAATACAAGAAACTGACATATAACTTAAGATTAAGATACAATGTTCTAAAATAAATATAACTAAAAAAAAAACTAACGATCTCAGAGAATTAACTTGGAGGAACTATAGAAAGCTATTGAAAACTACACATTTGAACATCAGTTCTCATGAAGTCACTTCCATTGAACTGTAGTCTAATGTTATGCCTTTGGCTTTTTATTGGAGACGGTTACAAGAAGCGGCAATATCAAATCTGCTTCTTGCTGTGAAATGTTGAAGGCATTCAGAATTAAATCAATTAGCTTCCTTATAAGAAGCTCTGATGGAAATAACTTGTTTTAATTTAGAGGCAAACAGCTTTTTCTCCCTTGAGTAACTAGTTCATTTCCTCCACACAGGAAATAAACTTTTTCTTATTTACTATAAACTTTATCTTATTTCCCTTTTTCCCGTGGATATCAGGAAACTCAGAATTCAACTATGATAATATTTAGGATTAGTATATCTACATTCTCTTCCACTTCACTATTGACTTATTTTGTAAAACTTACTCTGTTAATGAAAATTTTTAAAACTATTTCCATTTATATTATGTAAACATAAGCATAAATATAAATAAAAGAGCAAAAAAAGCATTGATTTATGTTCATTAAAAACACTTTAATATTAAAAGAAAAATGTCTCAGGAATGTAATAAAAAAATGTCATCTATTTATAGTGTATTGTAATTAGGTTTTTCATTATGTAAAATATAATGGCCAAATATAAAGTAGCATTTTTAATGCCTTTTTATATTATGAAACTCAACAACTTAAAATGGTTTTTCATCACTTTCTTTCAAAACGTTTCCATTTAGCTTTAAGGAAAATAAACTAAAATGCTGAGGAAATCGGTCTTACTCTTTCAGGCTAATAGTATCTACTCTATTCAGTGGGGGATGGAGAATGGGAACCAATGAATGCAGAAAGGCCATTTTTCTTTCTTTTTTTAAAAATAAGAATTAAATTTGTCTTTACTCATTTTCAGGATCTACTTTAATTTGCTCTGTGTCCAGGAGCTTTCGTGAGTAATGCCAACATGTAATTTTTTATCCTTTCCTCTCCAAGCACCAAGATTTGCCTACACCAAAGATCAAGCTAGAATACAGAAGATAATTTGTTGCTTGGGTTATCAAACCACACTTTCTTCTCCAAAACAATGAAAAAAATTCAGGATAGACAGACTCTTCCGACCCCATAGAATCTCTCATGTTTAGAGAAGACAGAGCTTGCACTACGCAGAAATGCTTCATGGGCATCTCACGCAATGTCCTCAGCTTGTTCAAAGGAAGAAACAAGGTTTGAGGCATAGTGGTCAAACAGGTAATCGGTGGAGTGTGACTGGAAAATAAGGCTCAGGTAAGGAGCAAGGCTGAAATGGTAGGTTCCAAGCAGACCATCAAGGATGTTCAATGCTATTATTAAGGACTTACAGGCCCTGGCTGGTGTAGCTCAGTGGATTGAGCACCAGCCTGTGAACCAAAGGGTTGCCAGTTCGACTCCCAGTCAGGGCACATGCACAGGGCACATATAGGGCACATGTACAGGTCCCCAGTGGGGGGTGCGTGAGATGCAACCACACACTAATATTTCTTTCTTTCTCTCTCTGCCCCTCTCTCTAAAAATAAATAAATAATATCTTAAAAAAAAAAAAAAAAGACTTGTAGACTTATCGCTGTGGGAAACAGGAAGCCATCGAAGGTTTCCAAAGACAAGAAGGATATGATTAAAGCTAAGTTCAAGGAAAATTAAAATGGCAGCAGTGGGTAAAATTATTTGGAGGGGCTGAGATTAGTTGTAAAACTACTGAAATATTACAGACAAGATTTAATAAAAGCCTTCACCAGATTAACAGAATGAATAGAAAGAACGCTAAAGGAAGTAAGTTTATATTCTATAATATGTTTTTAAAAACTTACTTTAGCATTAGAAACTGGGAACAGATACACCTTATGCGTTGTATTACCTTTGTCCCTAAAAACATTTCAGAATGTTGCTCTGCAACAATTGAAGGGCAATTCTGGAGACAAGTGTAAATTTACTTTTTATTCTCTTCTCTTTCAGATCAATTAATCTTTCTTTAAGATTAATTCTCAATACACATACTCTTGCATGTATTTAATAGTTTATTTAATTGGTCATGAGTAGTTTAGACATATAAACATTATTATAATTTCTTAACCACATTCTTATAAATAACTATTATATTTGGCAGGTTTCTATAGAAAAAAATAAGACATACAGGTAAGTATATTTTTAAAATTTCTTAAAAATAAGCTAAAGTTTCTCACTTCATACTGAATAATTCTGCACAAATTTGAGACAGAAACCAACCTAGGCCTCACTTTATTTGGTACCTGAGAAAATCTCCAAGGTCCCTTTTAACTCTAAAATTTCCTGGTCTACATACTGATCTTTCTGAACTGCATTTTAAAAGAGTGCACCATCCAACTAATGTGATTGCATTTTTCTAACATAACATTTAATGAAAAATAGGGATTCTTGTGAGAATTGCAGAGATTAACGAAATTAAGCTAAATGGGATTCATTACTGATTGGTTGACTTTCATGTTTTTCTCTTAATTTAACATAAGAATAGCATGTTCGAGTCTCTTTAATCTTAATCAAATTATACATATATGACTGACTTCTCCAAACTAATTAAGTGACAAACATAGGAAACAGCTTACACTGTTATATTTAGCACTATACCAGTACTACTAGATAATATAGCTAAAAAAATTTTAACATTTATCTAAAGACAATGAGGAAAAGATGTCAAAAAAAAAAACCTTATTTTGACATAAAGGCTAAACTTAATACCATGATCCAAATCAATTTAAAAATTTAATCTCAAAACAATAAATTATTATCCTGGAATATTGTTTGACAGTTAAGAGTCATAATCTAAAATGTACAGATCCATTATTTGGCTTATTTTCCCCCCTACAACCATCTAATACTTATGTATAGACAGATTTCCTGAAAATACATTTCTGACCTTTTCAATAAATTTTCCATTTGTCCTTTTATGTGAAAATTTTACCCCAAATTTCTGCATCAAGTTTCTAGGCAGAAAAACATCTTAAAAACATATGTACTATAAACTATATTCTGAAAAAGAATATAATATAATTAAAAACAGTTTTATGCTTAGTTCCAGATTTTATCCCATATTTGAAAATCATGTAAACCTTTTAATATTAGGCATAAGATTCTTAAGTTGATATCCAATAAACATCTATCCTTGTTTACTGATATAATTCTAAATAAAATAATAAAGATTAATATCAATTAATATATACAACAGAAAATTAAAATGTTTTCTGGTCCCAAAAAGTTATTTTGCTTAAAGAGAGAAATCCTCAGGCAAATATAAAAATTGATTATTTTTTTCAAAAGCTACTTTTAATGCTACTATTGGAAAAACTAAAATTGGGAAATCTCTAAAGTGGTAAAGACTCAAATAACCTACACAGGGATTCCTAAGAACTCAATATTTTTTCCTCCAGCACTTTAGATAGCACATATGTTTTTAAGATGTCTTCTTATATTGAAATGTAATGTAAATTTTTCTTTCCCCTTCCCCTTTCACAACCAATCCTTTTTCATTCGTACTGAACCTCTGTTAAAAATTTCCATACGCAGATATAAGAAATTAGGGATTCCTTGAGAGAATACCGGAATTATTACATGAAGTTTTCTAATCACAATTTTAAACAACATAGTTGTGCAAAAGACTTTTGAGTGTTACTAGTGATCTAATTTTACTTTACACATAGGCCTAGCCTTTTAAATTAGGAAATGTATACGTTTTTTACAATATTTAAATTTGAACAAAAGCAAATTATCGGGACTCAAAATAACTGAAGATTTAAAGAAAGGTTGTCCTGGTAACCAAATATTGGTGGGGTACTAACTGACATCCACGGGCAACTAGAGGGGGGAGAGAGAGAGATAAGATGAAGGCTTGGCATTCTCTGATCATCTCATTATTGTTCTAATGAGGAACTTTGCTCTGGGAATATCATCTCAGCTACTTTCACATCTTTTGTCCTCCTCCCTTCATCTCCCTTTCAGTTCTTAATTAGGCCTTAAAGAGCTCACACTGCCCTTTCAACTGGCTACTGCTCCTGTTTAAACACTGCGCTTTCACCGACAGGTGTTGGCACTAGCATGTAAGACATACAAACTTAATTACAAAATACTATGTCCAGAAGGGGGGAAAAAATAACTCGGTGGATGGCTATTATGGGAGAACTTAATGTAAATTACTTCAAACATCTTAGAATCTTCAACATGAAAATCGTTCAAATACTTTTCCTCAAACACGATCAGTATGAGGATGAGCTTTCTCCTCTTAATTGTATCTTGCAGTAAATTAACAACACCTAGTAATCCTTTAACTGTCATTTAGAATAGTTAGTATTCCGGAGAAAAATAATCACACATCAAGGATTCTTTTATCACCTTTAAATCCTTTAACTAAAACAATTTTCACATTTTATTTCTTTAAAGAATTCTAAGGATGCTTTTACAAAAATAAATTACGAGATTTGGAAAAGTACATTTACAAGCACATAGAAATTGTAATTAAGGTTACTTAATAAACAATCGCTGCACATTAAATCGATTTTTTGATGTTGCATTTTGTTTGAGATTAAGTAATCGCCTGATAGAATTCATTTTACTATCTGATCAAAGGCTGACTTCATATATTCTGACATTTCTCGCCAGACTGCCATATTATAAAGACTTGAGTATTTATGAAACATAAAAACTTACACATCATTTACATAAAACAGCAAAAACACAATACAAAGTCCTCCGCTTCTATGTTTTCTACAATTTTAAAGAAAGAACTACATTTAGAATGGTTTATACACTACCATGATTTCTTCTGGGCACAGCTCGTTATAGAAAATTGTGATATGTTATTGCTTCAAAAAATTCTTATTGTACATCTGGATCACACACATTAAGGACAGATGGTTCAAACAGCAACCACCAGCATCTTGGAATAAAGGCCCTATTTCTGTTATTCAGTGAGACTTTAGTTTTCTACCAAGAACATGTGCCCATGTTTTTGTAAAGTAACCTCTTCCTTAGGCTTAATAGATTTCGAATTGCCTGCGGATGCAATGGAACTCTAAACAGATATAAAACTGGATTTCAAGTAACAATAAAATAAAGTTGAGATATCTGAATAGCCCTTCCCAAAGAAGTGAGTTAGCTGAGCTGGTGGCTAGCAAGCCTGTTAATATATTTGGTTTTTTTCTGACTAGGAAGGTGAGTATGCTACAGGTTCAAATACTTTCCTGGGTGACTGGATCTCTTGTCAGGATGCTTTTCCTATTGTTGAATATTAACAGTTTTATCCTTTCTTCAATCTTTGTCCCAATAACAAAAAAAAAAAAAAAAAAAAAAAAAGTTTGTTTTCTCCACATGCTCTTATTTCGTAACTATAATTTTAAACTTGACATACAACTTTCATAATAATTTTAAAAGTCTGCAAACAAAATGTGTAAACTTTAAGTAGTCTTCAGTTATAATTATGTTTACCTGAACTTCCATAAATTGTACAGAAGTCATACCCTATCACACGTTAAAAGTAAAGATTCAATTTTGCTTTTCTCCTTTTTCCTCAAACTATCACACTAAGCTATACTCTGCAGGTAGCTGAAGGGTTCATGGAGATGGAAGACTCTGGAGAAATGGGCGCCAGGCAGAAGGCTGGCTGGTGGTTTGTTTTTTGGTTATTCTCTAAACCCCTCCGCAACTTACCGGAATTTTCCTGAGGTCTTCACTGCTTGTCGGGTTCGTATGAAAACTGAGCAGTAAAAGACAAACATAAATGTTAAAAATGTATCATAGTCCACGTGGGAGGAAACATAAAAACGGAACATTTTTAACCAACATTTCAGTAATAATTTCTAACATCCTAAATCACTCAGATGAGTGAAATTTCATCCAGGATGTGGAAGAAAACCAGTATTTACTCACCATTCTAAAGCTGCTACAGTTTTAAACTTTGAAGAAAAACCCCTCAGCTGTTATTGGAACTAAAGAATTGTACCTCAAAATATGCAGTTTCTAAATACCTTTAAACATAAGCATTTTACCCAATGAGCTATTTTATAAAACTAAACGTTTTAATGTTATTATTCATTTTACATGCACACACTCACCTTAGGTCTCCTAATATAAAATGATGGAGAATTAAATAAACTTAGGTTGGAAAGACTGTAGCATAAAAGAGTTAAAGCAAACTTTTCAAAAAAGTCTACAGGTATTAGAAAAACTATCTTTTAAACATCAGCCTATCAATGAGAATACATTCACAGTGGTAGGAACCATCTCTGCAATTAATATGATTTCTAAGTAGCTGGTCTTCAAAACTCAAACCCCCAAATGGACCGGGGGGAAAAAAGAAAGGATTTCCTCTACACAGAGTAAGAAAACATCACAGCTGAGTGCTATAATCGTTTTCTTCTCCGAAACATGTCCATTAGGAAGGGGACTGCAACCAAAAAGAAGCTAAACTTCAAAGCCATCTGATGAGTAAATATTTCATCGTTGCTATTCAGGTTTGATTTTTACCCTGCACTTAAGAGTATTAGCCATTATAACCTCTACAAAGCATTACTGTCCTGGGAACCTTTTTATACCCCCTCCAAAAACACTTAACAGTAAAATATATATATATGTTACATTACCTCTGCTTTATCGGCTAAACAATTGGAATCCTTTGAAGAAATTCACTTTTAAAACGTTTGACTGTGACACACAGAAGGTCTGGAAGTTAGATATAACGTCTGGAAAATAATCTATTATCGCAGGTATATGTCCCAAGCTGTAAATCTACAGAGCATATATGCCACGTACAACCACCTCAAAAGAACCGCCCTTACGTCCAAGGCCTCAACGTGTTATGACTAAGATTTGTAGTGCGAGCTTCCTGAACCAGTGGCTGACCCCGCCGAGCTCGGGCTCCTGTGCAGACAGTGCCTCAGGGCAGCTGGGTGATGCGGTAGAAGAGAATGAAGCATGTTTTAGGGACCTACAATGCATTTTACAGGCAGAGACAGCTGGCACCCTCTCTCCTTCCCCACGCCCCACTGCTTTTACTGTGTTCTGTATGGTCCCAGGCTAGATCACTGTACCGGCCAAGTCACAAGAGCCTGACAAAAAAGAGTGGCTTAAAAGAAAACAACAAAACAAAATCCAAAAAAAACGTCGTCACAGAGTACACCTCGGCCTGGGGCACTATGGGAGCAGCTGCTAACACATGTGGTTCGGTTCCCATCCTCTCGGGTTTTCAATCCAAGGCGCTCAGCATCAGGGTCCGGCGGGACCAACCTCTCCCTTCACCAGTCTCTCGCAGCTCGCTGCCTTCCAACGGTCCAGGAACACATTCTGCTGCACTCCCTCCATCTGACTGTGCTCACCTCTAGGCAAAATGACTGACATTCGGGTGCCACAGTACACACGATGGTTGTAAGCAGAGAAGCGGCTGCGGGCCCTGCTACCAGGAGGTGTGAATTCAAATCCTGATTCTGCCCTAGACTTGCTGCGTGACCTTGGGCAAGCTGTGTAACTTTGTCTGGGCCCCTTCATCTGTAACATGGGGATGGCAACAGTATCTACCATGTAATACGACTATGAAGACTGAATTAGTTAACAACATGTGGAACACGTAGCAGTGACTGGCAGATAGCACGTGTTCAGTAATGTATTTAATAAACACGTACATAGCACTTAGCCTGTGTCAGATACTGTTCTAAGCATTTTCCCCAAATTAAACCATTTGATCTTCATAACCCTTGAAGCAGGTATGATCTTCATTTTCAAAATGAGGAAACGAGAGCCACAAAGAGCTGCGGTAACTTGCGTGTGGCCACAGAGTTGGGGGTGGTGGAGACGTCCCGCTCTGGCATCTGCCCCCCGCCCTGGGACGGGGCCCTGGCCCTGGTCCCTGCACAGTGAGCACGGGCAGCCCCGCGAAGCCATGAGCATAAGGGACGGGGGGACGGATCAGAAAGTGCACCCCCCTCACGGGGGCAAGCACACGGTCCAGCCGCACTCGGGGGCGGTCGGGGACACCACTCTTCAGGGTGGAATGTTCCGGCCACTTGGAGGGACGAAGTGCTCCACCACAGCAACTGGTCAGGGACGAAGTAGGATTTTCAATGACATGAAGGATCAGGTGGCAGGCCAGAAAAAGAGGACCCTGAAGACACAGGGCATGGCCCGGGGCAGCCTGACAGAGGGGTCACCGCTGGACACCAGAGCCTGGAACACAAGGCAGCAGTAGGGAAGGGGACCTGGAAGGGTTTTGATGCCAGGATGAGGCTCGTAGGCCTCATCTGCAGAGCGACAGGCAACCTTGCCGCACCTCCTGCCTCCTTTCCTAAATGCTGTTTCAACGTTTCGTGTGCAGTAGCATAATCCATCCCATCACATCCTTGAAGAATATGACCGTATACATTTCATTATGTCTCAGGAAGAAATTTTGAACTGAGAAATAGAAATACTAGTATTATATTTATGTTGATAAGCATTTTTCAGAAACAGGCATTTAGGACAAAGGTTTTATCAAAGTCATAAAAGTAACGATATCCAATTGCTTTAGCCTCTGGAGCTGAAGTGGAACTCGGTGACAACCTGAAACACGCCTGAATTCCTGAGAAAGATGAACTGGAGAGGTGACCGCAGTAAGGGTTTAAAAGCCTGCAGCACAGGGTGCGGCAGAGCCCAGCTGGTTCCCGCCCTACCTGAGGGTAACCGGAGCCCTGACACTCTCAGCTGTCCCCAGCGCATATCTGAGGACAGGGCCATTGTATGGGGCATTGTCTAAAATCTAAAGGCAGAACCCTCCCTCGTGGGTCGTCTTTGTAGTCATACACTGACGTGTCAAACACATGACAGACTCACTCATTCATGGCTGCTTTTTTGATCTGTCCTTAAGTGGGAAGAAAGAGTTAACTGAACTGGATTGAATTAGCTTGGTGAAAAAGAAAATGTCTCTATTTATCGAAGTGTGGCACCAATTTGTGATATCTTTTCCTCTGGATGGTTCCTCACGTCACGCGAGATACTGAATAATACAGTCTGACTGCTCAGCTGAGTTGTTGACAGGTTAAGGAACGTGGTGTTTTTAATCAGGTAGAAAATGAACTCAGACATGTCCACGTTGAAAAAAGTAAATTTAAACTTCAGAATTTATAAACAATTTCTAAAAAAATTGTTTTAGAAATCAGAACTGAGTTTGGTGGAAGCAGGGGATTTTAAAGTAACTCTTAAGCTGATACAAATATTTTAAATTCATATTTTAAATTTTTTTAAACTAATAAAATGCATTATTTTAACATTCTACAGTTTTTAGGTAAAAGCTTATTTTCTACTGTGATATTCCAAATTTAAATAATTTTTCTAAGTAAACTCTAATTTTAAATTTTCAGATGACTAGTACTCAAATATTCCTTAAGAAATCATTAGTATTTTTCCTATAACATCACTTAATTTATTAGTATTTTTCCTATAACATCACTTAATTTTATTTCTTTTGAGTAAAGAAATAAGTAAACTGGTGAGAGCTTGAAAGTGCCGTTTAATTTCTTCTATGGACTAGCCTCCTATAGACATGTCCCCAAAGCAAACCAACCCTACAAAGCAGTGAAAGTGACCACTGCAGAAACCTCGAGCACGTCTAGCAATCATCAGGTTTTTTTCACTGTCGTTCTTTGTCTCTTCTGAAAACATACGTAGATTCTTTTGGAGCAAGAATACCTAAGGCTGGGAAGGGACTAATGAGAGTAAAAAAATGTATGAAGTGCTTGTCAAGATAAAAATAAAAACCCATAGAAGAACAAAGATCTATTAAAACTGCTGAACTGTCTTAGTATTAAAAGACAATGCAAACTGTGCAAGTTCTTGGCTCTAAGATTTTAAGTCTTTCAATGAGAAAGACATTGGAAACTCTTTTGAAGGCATTTAAAAAGTAGTATTCCATCTTCCATAAGCGCTCTCTCTAGGCCCCATGAGTGCTAAAATTATGAAGGCAAGTCCATTTGGGCCTACAACTTGATCCATTTTGTATTTAATAAGTGAATTCTAGGTCTTTGAAAACTCCCACCTGGCGGGGGGTGGGGCACAAGGGGAAGGAGCGGGTGGCAGAGGAGTAAGGCTCTTGAACGCCATTCATTCCTTATTGTGTATGGGGAATATGTACAACTTTAAACTATCACAGAAGAACTTCTGACATTAATTATGTTCAAAGGGGAGTAGCCCATTGATCTTCTTGTTTCACTGAGAGAGTGGGCTCTAGAGACCTGGGGCTTCACTTTGGTGACAAATGTAGCTGAGAGGAGGGGTATAAACAGAACTGTAACATAACATAACAAAACCTTTAATGAGTCTGAAAAGGGGGGGGGAATGCTCCATTTACAGTAAAGCAAGGGAAAAAAGAAAGAATGGAAGGAAGGAAGGAAGGAGGGAAGGAAAAGGCAGGCACGCACGCATGCACTAGGCCTAATAACAACTGATACTTATTGGACTTTAACTGAGGTCCCTACCAGGTGCCCTCCTGAGCACTTTAACTCACTGGATCCTTGTAACAATCCTAGGAGGTGAGAGTTGTTTTTATTTCCAAGAGGTATCAGGCACAGAGGAATTAAGAATCTTACTCTAGGTAACTCAGTTGTTAAGTGCGTCAGAGTCAAAGAAAGGCAACCCAACTCCATGCTCCAAGCTCCTAGCCACAAGCTGTCCTTCCTCCCCTTCGGTGTTCTAGACTGTGCAGGCCACCCCTGCTGCGAGCTGGTCTCAAGG